GCATTACAGACAGAAAGAAGAAGAGGACGTCGCACTTCCGCAAGGCGTGCGGCGGCTGCGGTGCAGATGGATGCCGCACGGGTAGGTGCAGGATACTTCTTTCATGGGGGTTTGGTGGATTGTCAACGCCATGCATGCACGAAACGTCGACATGACTAAACAATTACTGCAGGTGTAATACTTGGGGGCAGGTCTGTGCAGCTCAGGGATGCATGATGCGTAGGTTGCAGTGCGCCGAGTCTGACTGCATGGGGACAGGTTTCAATGCAAGCAGTCTCATCAGCCCAATGCAAGCCGCATGCACGCGGTGGTTTACGCGGCTCCTGCAGGCTGCATGCAAGCGCCAACCTTCCAGCCCCACAGCCTGGGTTTGGGGCCAACAGATGCCTTGGGATCGCATGTATAACTGGTGTGGGGATGGCAAGCATCATGCAGTTGATGTGCGCCGCACCTGTGCACTCACCCGATGTCACCCGGGCGCTCGTGTCAGCGGGCCTTCGGGCTGCGAGCCTTTGCCGGCTCGTGACCTGCGTATGTAGACGTGCATCACGCGCTAGGTGTCATCAGACAAGGCAAGGCACCTGCCCGTCCTTGTCGGAAGGCGCCTAGATCTGAACGACTCACAATGCTGAGACTCGGCAGGGGCCAGCCTCTCGGCTGCCCCGTGCGCGCAGGGGCGCGCCTAAGAGTTGCGACTTATCCGCGCAGGACATCAGCAAGGCCGCTGCGCGTGGTGAACTCTGCGAAAGAGCCGAGCCCAGGAAGCAGCTCCAACAATGCTCGCGTGGCCAGGATCGTGCAATTCATCGCCCCTGCAGTCGCCAGCGCAGCCTTGGTGAGGACATAAGCTGCGCTACACGCCCGACGCCGATGCTCCGCTCCCATGCGTCGGGCGTACGAATTGGCGGGCGCCTTCTCAAACCTGCCGATGTTCCTCGCTGGCGCTGCCAAGCAGCCCTGCACTTGCTTCAGCTACAACCTGCCTGCACGGTCAGCGCCGATGTCCACCCTCGGGCCCCACAACTAACCCCCACCCGCCCCTTGTCCACCGCTCCCCCTCAGCTGGCCCTGACTGTCCTGCGGACGACGTCGATCGTGGTGCCGCCCCTGCTGCCGCCGGCCCCAGAGGCGTACGTCAAGACCCCCAAAGCCTCAGACGCGGCCGCCGATGGGGCCGCAGCCGCCGCAAATGCGGACGCAAGGTGAGACCAATCAGGGGCCAGGGGCGGTTGTGAAGAAGCTGCTCTTGTCCCTGTGATGCCCGCATGAGAAGCGCAAAGCGGCTGCCGTGCCACGATCTTGCACTTGAGGGCACCCACAGCACCCCATATTTGTTCCCCACGGCCTCACCCTGACGCCGACTGGCTCGCCCGTGCTCCTTCACCTTGCCCCCCGCCCCCCGCCGCAGCGCACCGTATGCGGCGCCGGCCGCGCCCGAGCCCGTGCCCGTGCCCGTGCCCGCGCCTGCGCCCACACGCATCCCCGCTCCGGAGCCCGTGGCGCGCGCCGGGGCCGCCAGGAACACGTGGCGCGCCCTGTGGGGTGCCGTCACCCTCCCCGCGCGCCTGCTGGTGAGCCGCGCTCACGCATATGCAGGCGGGGCATGGGAAGCACGCCGCCCAACTAGTCACGCCACCACGCACGCGGGTCGGTTTCGGTGCACATAATCAGCGCTCAGTGGCGCGCGCGACGGTCAAAGCAGCCTCAGCTGGGGTGTTGAGGCCAGCCGGCGGTCTCGGCTCTCTCCCAGTGTGATGCCCAAGCGTGTGGGGGACCATGACATTGCGAGACAGCCCGCACGCTTCGCCCCCGGGTTCAGCGATCAGGGTTTAGGGTCCATCCCTCAATAATCTTAATATCCCCCCAACACACACACACACATGCACATACACACACTCACAACACACACACACACACACACACAACACACGCGCGCACGTCCCTGCAGGACGCGACGCTCTTTCCCCAAGAGACTCTTGTCGTGAGGTAGGCGAGGCAACTGATCTCACCATCACGAGCCCCACAGCTGCCGGTGCTGCCCATGCTGCCACACGACTCACGCTGCCCGTGCTGCCTGTGCTGCCCCCAGACCCCGGCTTTGCCCAGCTCCTGACGCCTGCTCCTGTCTCGAATGCGCCGCCGCGCCGTCCTTCTGCAATCTTTCTAATGCTCGAACCAACAATATCCTATGCAACGTGCAGGCCGAGGGCGACCACCGCCGCGTCGCCAGTGATGCCTGCAACCCAGCAGCTTCCCGCTGCTGTCGGGCCGGCCAACGCTGACAAAGCGGCCCAAGTGACGCTCTTGCCCGCCACGCCCGAGCCCGCGGCCGTTGCAGCTGCAGTGCCTGCCGCGCCGCTGGCGCCCATCCTTAAGCCGGCGCCCGCGCCCGCGCCCCGCGCCCCCGCCGCCGCGCCCCTGGACGGCCTGCGCGCCGCGGCCGCTGCCGGCGCCCGCGCGTCCCTCGCCGCGC